TGCCGTGATCCATCTTCTTTATAGTGAGCGTCCAGAGCCAGCACCATCTGCGGCACCAGAAATACAATTACCGGGGGGGCAGGGAGGGAAGACCCTCTCCTTCCAAATTTCAGAGAGGCCTCGCAAAGCGACCCTCAATTACTCCTCTCACCCCAGGGACCGTGTGCAGCTCCGTCTTCACTTTAGCCATAATTACAGCTGAGGAATTAGCAAGTCTGATTTTCTCCCCCTTCTTCTGTGCCATCCCTGGTTCTTCCTCCCCCTCCGAAAAGGAAAAAAAAAAAGGAGAAATTGAAATTGATCTCTGGCTCCGGTGCTGGCCAGCTGTAATTTAATCAAAAAAGCCTCTCTCTTGGAATTTTTTTTTTTTAACCCCAAGGTCCTACATTAAAAAGGATGGTGATGGGCAGGAACCAGAACGGCTGAAGTCGTGGCAGTAGCTGAAGCATCTCACAAGCCCCTGGGCATGTTACAGGAGCAGAAATGAGGAAGAAATAGCTTATAATGAACGTACCTGAGACTTTAATTGCCTTTTCAGACAGCGAAGCCAGCCTGTGCCAGGTCTGTGGAGCTCTGTGTTAAATAAAGGAACAAAATCCAGATTTCTACTGTATCTTGGAATTTTTTACTGCCTAAGGTAGCTTTTCCTTGCAGCCTGCATGCTTTGGACAGGGAGTTGGGAGGTGGCAGTCCTGGCCTCAAGCCCTGGAACAGGCATTTTATGGTCTTAGTGTGCATTTGAGGTCAATTCCAGTAAAATTCCCCAGTTTTGTGCACATGCAGACACGTCCCCCTGTGCGGGGATGTGCTGGGGACACCCCAAGCCCCGTGGTGGCAGCTCCCCTAGGCCATCAGGTGAACATGATGGACACACGGGGTGCTTTGCCCTTGCCGGTGGCAGGGGGGAACATGCAGAGGACATTCCTCGGCACAGCAAGACCCTCCACGAGAGGCAATAGTTCAGATGAGAAAGAGGGATACAGACAGTGGATGGTTCAGTCTCCGGACACGCAGCCTATGGGAAAAGCAGAGGATGGGATTTTGCATCAATAGGAAAAATTTAGGAAAATATTAGGAAAAATTTAGGAAAACATTAGGAAAAATTTCTTCACTGAAGGAGTGGTCAAGCATTGGAAGGGGCTGCCCAGGGCAGTGGTAGAGTCACCATCCCGGTAGGTGTTCAAAAAATGTGTGGGCATGGTGGGATTGGGTTGATGGTTGGACTTTATAAACTTAGAGGACTATTTCAACCTAAATAATGCTCTGATTCAATGATTTGATGGTACAGACCACCCCCCCGGCTCACAGTTCACCTGCAAACCCTGCCACTGCCCCCGTCAAACTCCCGCTTGCCCCCGGTGTTACTGCACCACCAGGACCAGCAGTAACAACAGCCACCTGCCCGCACCACCGCACACCCACAACAGCATAAATCACAGAGTGACCCCAAGTTCGTATCTGCTGCCGCCCCTCTGTGAAGGGGTGGCCTTGCCATCTCGCAGGGTGACACCCACCACTGATTTACGGCCGGGGGGTGGGAGCAGGGTGGTGACAACACCAGACACCTCCACACCCTCCGGTTTATTCCCTGTGGCTCTGCTCCTTCCCTGTTGGATACGGTGGCTGTACTCAGCCGTGACCCAGCCCCGACCGCGGTGAAGGAGGGATGGGATGGGGTTGGGAGAGCCCGACCACGGGTTTAAATCAACACCCTCCACTTCCCTTCTGTGCTGAGTTATTGCGCCCTGGTTTTGTGATGGAGATGACCAGGCGGTGAGGGATGAGTGACCTGGGCCAGACCACCGGGCTTGGCTCTCCACGCTGGACCCTAGGCAAAGGGTGAGAGATCAGGGCTGCCCTCCAGCCCCTTCCTGGCCCTCTCACCTGCACAGATGCTCCTTAAATCAACACCCTCCACTTCCCTTCTGTGCTGAGTTATTGCGCCCTGGTTTTGTGATGGAGATGACCAGGCGGTGAGGGATGAGTGACCTGGGCCAGACCACCGGGCTTGGCTCTCCACGCTGGACCCTAGGCAAAGGGTGAGAGATCAGGGCTGCCCTCCAGCCCCTTCCTGGCCCTCTCACCTGCCCAGATGCTCCTGAGCATCGGCTGTGATTTAGTGCATGCAGGCTCGCCAGGAGAGCAGGCAATGCTGAGCTGCATCCCGGCAGCAGAGCAGCCGTCTCTGGTGCTCTAGGCAGGGGTGTCTGAGGATGCTGTCACATCTGGGGCATGCTGTGATATCTGGAGCATGCTGTGATAACTGGGGGGGAGGGAGGGAACGCTGTGATATTTGGGGGGATGCTATGGCGTCTAGGAGGATGCTGTCAAATCTGGGAGGATGCTGTCACATCTAGGAGAACACTATGACATCTGGAAGGATGCTGTGACCTGTGGCAGGATGCTATGATGTGTCGGAGGATGCCATCACATCTGGAAGGTTGCCATGACATCTGGGAGGATGCTATGACATCTACACACAAACTTCTTTAAAAAATAAACAATAATAATTTAAAAAAATAAAAGAAAAATGGCAGGCTGCCTGCTGCCCTCTAAGCACTCGCATGAGCACTCCCAGGGATGCCTCGGAGTGGAGTGAGGTCGAGCCCCGAAGCTGCCCGATCCCAGACCGGTCCTTCCCCGCGGCCGTCGAGCTCCGGCTCCTCTGCGGCCTCCGGCATCCCCTGGCGGCAGCCAGAGGCTTTGCAAAGGCCCACCGGCCCCAAAAACCTCCGCAAGAAACGTCCCTCGGGGTCACTCTGCTGTCCCCACCCTGGCCTGGCCACCCCAAGGCCGCATCGGGTGGGGAGAAGCCCTCCCAGCCCCACCGACAGCTCTGGGCATAGGGCTGAGCCCCTGGGACCCCACACCTTGTCCTTATGCAATCAGCTCAGGGCCTCCCGCCTCGGCGGCTGATTATGGCCCCAAGCTCCCCGGATAACTCTCTAAGCCCTAAATCTGCTCCCGTTCTGCTCCCCAGATAAGGCGGCGCAACAGGGTGGCCATGGGTGTCGCGCTGGGGTGACACCACGCTGGCCACGCCAGCCCTGAAGTGAGCAGTGAGGGTTGGGTTTCAGTGCTGCCGAGGGTCTCCCACGATGTCCACCAGCTCTGGGGGCTTTTCCAGGCCAAGCAGCCCAGAGAGGGCCAGCGGCATGGCTACCAAACATGCTGAAGAGCTCATAGGGATGGGCACAACCAGGGTGACACTAGGGTTTGGGGAGACGCTGCAGGCACAGAGCCCAGCTCTGGCCCCGCAGCATTCGGCATCCTGCTATTAGACATCAGGATCCTCAGCTCACACTTTCCGGCAGGATGCGCCCAACACAGCAGAAACAGCTGGGATCCTTCGTCTGCTCCATATTTTTATATTTAAGGATGAAGCCAAGTGACCTTTGGGACTCTGCCTCGATGGCTGCTTTAAATGGAGAACACAACCTCCCATGTTCTACTCTGGGACCAAACTCCTGATTTTTTACCATGACAGTAGGGATTAAAAGCACCCTTTCCCAGATCCTTCAGCCCAGCTGGCCCCTGTATCTCCAAAACCGTGTAAAAACCGACCAAATACCAAAAAAACTCTTTTAAAGAGGAAGTTAAGGGAGCAGCCAGGTTTCATGTAGAATTGGGCAAAGACAGGTTTGGCTAGGGCTGCCCTGAGGAAGGGATGGGCTGGGGAGTCCAAGACACCTCACGGGTGGGGGGAAATTTCAGAGTTTATTTAATGCACACAGCTGGAAGAGGGTGGGGAAGGGTGGATTGCAGAGTTTATTTAATTCACCAGGGCAGTTACAGGTACCTGGGTCCTTGGGGGAAGAAGGGGCAGCTCCTCAGGTTTATGTGATCAGCGAAATCATGGACGTATAAAGGCAGCTGGAGGGGAAAATTGAGATTTTTGGCTGAGCTGATGAGTGGGAGCTTGTGCAGCAGCACCTGCCAAAGGTGAGAATAAAAATACAGCCCCAGGCTATTCAGCTCAAGATGCTAAATCCTGCCCTGATCCTGCTCAGGATGGATGGAGCCATTTTAAGCCATAGTTTAAATTAAGATACCTCGGCTGGCTGAGCCTCTGGCAACGTGCGGGCTGTCACGGCTTTGGTGCGCAAAGGCCACCACGGTGCTGGAGCAGACACCTCTTCCTTGCTGCAAAGAGTCGGCGTGGTTTTTCCACGGCCTTTTGTGAAGTTTTCCTGTGTGGTTGGAGCCGGTATGCTGCCTGGCCGCAGGAGGACCCACGGGCAAGGAGCAAGCAGTCCCAGGTAAGGTCGAGGTCTGGTGAGAAAAGCATCCTTGTTTTAGGGGGGTTTTGGTGTGAAAGGGGTGGAGGAGTTTAATGGAATTGCAAAGGCTTTTTTCACCAATAAATCCATGGTTGGCTTCTATCTAGAAGCAAAACAGTTTAATATCTGCTGTTGGGCCACAACCAGCCGATCCTTGCCCCAGGGCACCCATACTGGGGGCTGGGCCCTGTGCCCTTCAGGGAGCTGGGGGCTGCTCCTGGCTCTGGTCAGGAGGAGCTGGATTTAACCATTCTGACTGTCCACTGACCAGGCTCTGCTGGGAAAGGTCCTTGCAGCTGCATTGATAGGCACCAGTGAAGTGGAAAGGGATGGAGATGGCCCCTTCCTTCTCCACCACCCTGGAGATACCCCCAACCTCCCGCCAGCCTGCTTTTGTTTCCTAAACCATGGGACATCGATCCAGACTCCCCAGCTGTCCCTCCCATTTTTACCCACTCTGATGGTGCTGAGGGGCTGGCTGCTCCTTGCCTGGAGTTTTGCAGCACCTGCACCTCCAGTGCAAGCATTTGAATGGGGCAGGGGATGGAAACCAGAGCTGGCAGGTGGGAGCCAGCCAAGGTTTCCCAGCGGGATGAGCGGTGCGGGGGTTCCCACGGCCCCTCTGTATCTGCACAGGGAGGAGTGAACAGTGCTCCCTTGCCCCGCCCCGGCAGAGGCTCCTGCCCCCCCAAGCTGTGCTCGTTCCCCCGGCCGGGCCGGATGACAGATGCCTGCGGTGGAGGAGAGCATCTCACAGCCCCCGCTTCCATCCCCGATGACTCTGACCCAGAGCTGCACTATGAGGAGGAGGAGGAGGAGGAGGAGGAGGAGCCCTCGGACACCAGCAGCATCTTCTCCGATGACTCTGTCTACCCATCCTATGAGGTGTCTCCCGGGGCCAGCAGTGCCGGGGACCTCAGCCTCTACCAGTGCTGTGCCAGAAACGATGCCAAACTGGTGTGTGAGAGGCTGGAGCGCGGGGTGACACAGAGCGAAGCCACTGAGATGGATGTCAACGGGAGGGTGAGCAGCTGGGTGGGCACCCTGCGGAGCAGAGAGAGGATTTCGGAGGATTGTTGGGAGCAGTGGAGGGAACAGGGGAGGGTTCAGCCTGGAGAAGAGGAGGCTGAAGGGAGACTTTATCGCCCTCTACAGCTCCCCAAAAGGAGGGGGTAGCGAGGAAGGGGTCGGTCTCTTCTCCCAAGTAACAAGCATTGGAAGGAGAGGAAATGGCCTCAAGTTGCACCAAGGAAGAGTTAGATTGGATATTGGGAAAAATGTCTTTACTGAAAGAGTGGTCAAGCATTGGAACGGGCTGGGGTCACTGTCCCTGAAGGTGTTCAAAAAATGTGTGGATGTGGCACTTTGGGATATGGTTTAGTGAGTATGGTGGTGTTGGGCTGACGGTTGAACTTGATGGTCTTAGAGTTATTTTCAAACCTTAATGACTCTACAGTTCTATGATTTCCTGGGAGCAAGCAGCTCCTGAAGGTTGGTGGTTGCTAAAGGAGGAGGAGGAGGGAGAGCCCTGGGTGTGAAGGCTTTGCCAAGGGATAGGTCTCTTGGGATTGACCCAGACCTTGGAGAAGGACCTCATCTGTCCTCCCACCCTGATCTCATCTGGTTTGGGGCTGGGGGGTCATGGGCACCACCACAGTGGGGAGGATGGCACGATGCCAGCCCCAGCGCTGAGTGTTGACCCCTCCCCAGAATGGGCTGATGCTCGCCTGCTACAAGGGCTTCGTGGACATCGTGCCCCTGCTGGGGAAGTGCCCCTACATAAACGTCAACCAGCAGGACAAGGATGGCAACACAGCACTCATGATGGCTGCCCAGGCAGGTGGGTGCTAGGCACAGGGCCCCAAAACCAAACCTCCCATCGCGATGGGTTTCCTCACTATGACGGATGAGTCCAGTCCCCGCACGCTGATTAACCACGGGAGGAGGAGGAGGAGGAGGGTCTCAATGCGGGGATCGCTCTTTATTCCCACTTGATCTCTGCTGGAATTTATTATATTTGGGGGTTTCTTGCAGTTCTGGACTCTTTCCTGCATTCTCTGCTGAAGCACCTGGTGCACCAGTGCTGTTCCCCGCATGGCCAAACCCAAAACCAAAATAATCCCAAACCTTTTCCATCCCCATCCCTCCAAGTTTCTGCATTTTTATCCTCATGAAATGTGGTTGAAAAGTATTTTCCCCCCCTCCATCAGTAGTGATTGTTCGTTAACTGTTGAACGTTCATTAATGCAGCTTCTCTCTGGCTGTTAAGGACACATCACCATCGTCAACTATCTCCTCAACTACTACCCCGCACTGGAGGTGGACAAGCGAGACCCCCGGGGCCTGACAGCACTGATGAAGGCTGCGGTGCAGGGGCAGCAGGACTGTGTGGCCGCCCTGCTCCTCTCTGGTGAGCGTCTCCCCAGGGTTTATTTTTGAGGGGAACGGGTGGCATCACACTGGGGTGAGCAATTGCGGTGATGCCGTTGGTATCCCGATGTCTCCAGGAGCAGACCTGCAAGCAGTGGATGCTGTCAAGGGGAAGACGGCCAGGGAGTGGGCGGCCTTCACTGGCCGCTTTGAGACAAGCGTGCGGATCCGGAGACTCCTGCAGCGCCCGCGGGCAGAGCAATTCGGCACCCGGTACCGGCCTGAGTGGCCGGCGCTGGCTGAGCTGGTGGCCAAAGCTTTGAGCCCTAAATCCAGAGGGAAGAGGCTGTCAGAGAAGATACGCTCCATCTTCACCTTCAGCTTTCCCCGTGAGCCCCAGGAGGAGGGTGTGATGGACCACATGGTGAGGATGACCACTGCCCTCGCCAGCCCCTTCGTGGCCACCGCTTGCCAAACTGTCTGCCCTGACAGCCCCCCTGAGTTAGGCAAGCGCAGGCTGTCAGTGCCAGAGATCCTCGGGCACCACGTGCTGGATCCACATGCTGAACCAGAACCAGCCTCACACCCCAGCAGCGCCATGTCCTCCTGCAATGGCCAAGCCACGTCTGAGATCCGACTCCTGCCGCCGCGCCGCTGGGCCGGGGGCCTCCTCAGCCTCCTGCCCCTGCGGCTGCGACGTGGGAACAGCATCTTCCCTGGAGAGCCCATTCCTAAAATCAAAGTGAGCAAACCCTCCTGCCCCCCATGCCCCTGTGGGAGGGAGCGGCGGTGGCGCGGGGGGGATAAGGACCTGCTGCGGCCCCCCCAGTGGAGGTACAAGGAGCTGAAGGAGGAGAAGAGGGCAGCTGAGGAGGCCAAGAGCGAGAAGAAAAAGAGGAAGAAGTGCTAAGGCGGAAGGTGGGGGCAATATCCCAGCTGTCCCCTTAGACCTGCTGGCTTTTTTGGCATGGGCCGTGGTTTTCTTCGCCAGTGGAGGGGACGGTGGGGGGAAGATGCTGTGGATGTGCCTGGCTCTGATGCCCCAGCCCCTGTGGTCCTGGGTCCCCAACCTCTGCCTGGCTCTGGGGCTGTTGGGACCCTGCCCTGGGCCAGACTCCAGGTCTGTGGCTCTTTTTTTTCTTTTTTCTTTCTTTTTTTTTTCCCTCCAAATTTTCTTCATTTTTTTGCCTCTTGGATCTTCCAGAGATCTTGATGTTGCGCCATGTGGTGGACTGTGGCTGTGCACATTAAACTGGAAGCGGTTGCCATGCGAATGGGATTGATATAAAAAATAAAGCCCAGAGTTGGGTGTTGGGCTGGCTTCTCCCTTGCTGCCAGTGTCCCCTGGCCACTCTGTCATCCCCTCAGTGCCACTAACTTCTCTGCTCCTGAGTTGCCAATGGCCAAACCACAGCTCAGTGTGGAGAGGCATCCCCATGCAGGAGGGTTGATGGGAGCCCAGCATAGGCTGGAGCCCAACCTCAAGTGCTCGTAGGCTCTGTCCCTCTGGGTCCCTCACAGGGGGAGGCAACTCCTGTGCTCCAGCATCACCCAGGGTGGGACTCAGTAGTCCCCATTCCCAAGCAAACCACCCTGCGCCCACGCTGACCCCTGGAACCCCTTGTCTGCACCCGTGCACCCCCCCGGGCCCTGCTCCCATCAGACAGCCAGGTGTGGCATGTGCTGCTTGTGCTTCCCTTATTTCAAGCTCCTCTTAAATCTGGCCCCATCCTGGGGAGTGGGATGGTCAACTGGGGGTGCTGGACACCCCAAGCACCCAGGGTTTGATCCGCAGGGAGGGTGGCAGTGAGAGTCACTCGAAGCAATTTGTCCAGGTAATAAATAACCCTTGGCTGGGCACGAAGCCTCCACCCTTCTCTGTTCCCTTCTTTAGGGGGACAAAATCCCCTGCTCCCCACTTTTTGACTGAGGCTTAGCCTTTCAGGAGGCACAGGGAGGTTTGGGCTGGGTCACAGGGAAGGATGACAGAATCACAGAATATGAGGAGTTGAAGGGACCTCAAAAGCTCATCCAGTCCAGCCTCCCTGCCAGAGCAGGATCACCAGAGCAGTCACACAGGAACATGCCCGGACAGGTTTGGGTGTCTCCAGAGAAGGAGACTC